GCTTAAGGCTTAAAACACCTATTGTAGATCCGGGATAATGGTTGTGTTCAGCAGAGAAAGTAGCTTTGCAACTGTTGTAAAATTCTTCAATATGATTGGTCTTGCTCTTAGTTTCTCATTGGATCTAAATGTATAAACCGATCATATTCAAGAATTTTACAACAGTTGCAAAGTTGCTTTTTCAGCTGAACGCAGCCTATGGTACGTTTCCACTGAGCGCGTCACGCGTCGCGTCATGAAAGAGAGAAAGAGATAAGATTATATAAATACACAACCCCTCTCTTTCTTTCCTTCGACAACGCGACGCGTGACGCGCTCAGTGGAAACTCAGCCTAAAGGCATAAATAAGTCGACGTCAAGCGCATAATGGAAATTATTGATATAAATTATAAATTATACTGCCTGCTTGTTTGTATTCGGACTATTCGGAGGTGAAACGCTCGAGAGGAAGAGAGAGAGAGAGAGAGCGAGAGAGAAAGTGGTAAGACATGACGTTGGCGAGGTTATATCGAATTCTCCACTGATATTTACACAGTGCATAATTTTATTATATTTACATGGTGATATGAAAATAAATAGTCGAAACGAAATGATGTCCACTACAGTACAGAGAAATACGGCGACAATACGGCGCTTTTAGAGAGACGCTTTTTGACAGACAATCGTTACTATCTTCGATCAGGCAGGCATGTTCAGGTACTTTTGGGCTCTGGTGTGCTGGTACTTCAGGCCCTTGATAAAATGGTTCTTGCACCACACCACGCAGATGTGCGAATTGCAGAGGATCTGTTACGGACAGCCGTCCGGAGCACCGCGCGCTTTTGCAGTTGAGGAAACTCTTGGACAGTCGCGCAATGCAAATATTAGGACCCTCGTAGCTTACTTGAATGACATTGCTGATCACCGAGGGATAACGACAAAAACGGAGCGCAAGATTCTAGAGGATGCCATCAGAACCGTACTGGTGACGAAAAAAATTAATCCTACGGCACATCCAGATTTTGCCAAGACATTTGGCAAATGCGTGGAACTGATCTGGGGCTACCGTCAGCTCTGCGTGGAGTGTGAAGAGTTTAGGAAGACACCGTATAGTGCTGATAATCCGGAACACGAGGAGAAGCTGCTGAAGTTATGGAACCTACTGATGCCATATAAACCCCTGGATGCAAGGGTAACCAAACAATGGCAAGAAATCGGCTTCCAGGGGGATGATCCTAAGACAGACTTTCGTGGGATGGGAATCTTAGGATTAGAGAATCTCATTTACTTTGCTCAAGAGTATCCTGGCATGGCTATGCATGTATTGTCCCATTCAAATCATCCACGTTATGGATATGCATTTGCTATAGTTGGTATAAATCTCACAAGCATGGCTCTAAAGTTGTTAAGAGACGGTAGTGCTAAGACTCATATATATAATTCCTCGAAGACCTTGCCGACAATTCGTGCCTTTCATCAGTTTTATTGTTATCTATTTTATGAATTTGATGGATTTTGGATTGAGTCCAAACCTAGTAATATGATGGAATTCTCATCGATACAAGAAAAATTTGAAAACAGTATCAGAATAGCGTTAGCCAATCCATTAACTGTTTTTAGGATAAACGTAGCAGTTGACAATATTTAATACGAATACAAATTGCCTTTTATTTGTAAGAAACAAGACCAAAATGGTTATATAAGAAATGAGTACAATTTTTAGACTAGCACACATAGAACTTATTTGTTACATATTTTCACAATGCTAGATTTGTCGTGATATTAAAATTGCATTTAAGTAAATAATTAAGTTTTACTTATAGAAATCTTTATTTTGAATTTAGTTTGTCTTTAATAATATGATATTAATATCTTGTAACATGTGTGTTTTATTGTAGTTTCATTGTAATTTTAACAGTTGGTTTAGCTGTTTCTTTAAATTTATTGAATTTATACGTAGGATATGCTTATCATATGTGATACATTAAGTTGCATAACAAAATTAAACTACTGTGCATTACACATATTTCATATTGATTTAAATAATTTTCAAAGTTAAAATTTTTTAATATTGGCTGCATTCTATTATTTGTTGTAAGTACTGAAAATCTATAGTTTACATTACGTATAAATTTTCAATACTCGCAGTGAATAATGGAATGCAGCCATCATCATCAGCAAATTTACATTACACTAATGAAGTTAAAAACTTCAGAATTCCAAAAACAGATTAAATAAATTAATTAGTAACAATATCACAATATAGCTTTATCACAATATCGTGCCTCATAAATTTTATTCTTTAATAATTCGAAGCATATTCAGAATGTTATAAAACCTAAAGAAAAGATATTGAGCTAAATAAGTCATTGTACCACGGAAGAACAATGTTGCTTTTATAAATTTACAACATTTAAATTTATTATATATGTGCAAATTTTAAAGTTGAGAAGATCATTTTCAGATAATTTTATGAAAGTATAAATTGGTATAAATTGTCAAAGCTTGATATAGGACTGGATCTTCAATAAAATTTATATTGTTGCACGTTAATGGGGATTTGCTATTAAATTCAATTAAGTAGTTTATTTGAAGATTGGAATTTCGAGATTAGTTTTAAATTTTTTGCATTAAAGATATATTTCTGTAAAAAATTTATAATACAGATATTTTTGTACAATCTAATTATGTGTTTTTCTGTTTTCTTTTTAATAAAATATAACTCACATGATTGCTTATAAAAAATTATATGTAAAAAAAGCAGCAATAAAATTTGAAGTAACAGATATAACATAACGTTATACAATTAATGGAATGCATTGTGGCTAATAACTTGACAATAAAGTCTTTTCTTAACAAAACAGATACGAATCTATTTTGAAACAAGTAATTCACATTTAAGATATTCTCAAGCAAATTTAATTAATACCGCTTTGCCTTTCTTAAATTTGTTGCTGTTATACACATTCTATCATTACTTACTATATAACTTTTTGAATATATTTCAAGTAAAAAATATATTCTTTATATAGAACTAATGTGCAAATATTTGTGTATATTGGATTATTATACTAAAAATTATATCTCCTATTTTCAAAATAATTTCAATTATCAAATATACCTTTAATATTGTACTATTAAATTAAATTTTGTTATTATATTTTTGTGTGATAAAATAATCGAATTTCTCAGTTATTTCATCAAACTTACAATTTGATAAATATTTAAAAAATACTTCTCAAAGAAATGTACATTTATAAAAATATTATAAAGTTTAAAATTATACTTTTTACACATGTATAATAATTTAATGTACAATCAAAAATAATTTTTAGTATTATAAACAACGGTTTATACAAAGAAATATTCATACTGTATTTTTGGCAAGCCCCCAATGTACTTAATAGATTTAGTCTTCTTTATCCTCCTTATCTTCTTTTTCATCTGATTGCATACATTTAATAGTTGCTAGAACAATAACTAGCACCCCAATGCAAATGCTAGCTAACTTGAGTATCCACGGATTATCATACAGAAACGTTATAATTACTTTGGTGTATTCATCACTAGAAAAACAATAATTAATGTATAAATTTAGAAATAAGTTAAAATGAAACATTTTTAAGTAACTATGTATATTTCTTTAAACTTACAAATAACTTGGAAGTGCAGGTACTTCTTCTGGTTTTAAATCTTTGTATCCTTCTTTGGCGAATGCTACAAAGGAAGTAACGTCATGTGTTCCCATATCATACCGATACATTTTACCATACCTAAAACTACGAGAACGTATTAATATGCTATCAGTCAGTTATACTTTTCAATTTGTGCTTATCTCACAGTGCATTTATATAATATTATTCAAGATATCAAATATTGATTTATATCTATGTACTTACAGTATAAATTGTGGTGTATTATAAATGTTAAACCTTCTGGCTGTGGAAATCCCAGTTGTGGCTTTATTAACAAGTGCTACATTTACTTTATGTTTAAGCTTGGCACTGACCATTTCCCATTTTGCCATTGTGCGCAAGCATTGTACGCAGTCCGTACTGTAACTGATATTGTAAGCCATGATTACATAGTATACATACTGCCGTTACTTATAAAACAAATTAAATGATTACTGTAAATGTAGAAATAAGAACTGAGACTTACAACATAACGAACCAATCGCCAGTCGTAGCACCAGTGCTTGCTTGAGTTAAATGCTCAAATGTATCGTCTGTAAGTTCCTTTACTGTGGGTGCTTTATTTTCCGTAAACGTAGTTATAATGTCTTCGTCCTCCAAAGGTCCTGTGGAAAAAGACGCAACATGAAAAAGTCTATAGTACAATCACAGATTTATAAGCACGTTTAGAAATAAAAATATATGTAGACATATCACAATGTGTACGGGATAATAAAGCACAATGTATTATCACAAAGCAATTAAATGAGTAAAACATCTGTATATAATTTCTATTTTTCGTCAAATCCATACCATCGTACAATAAAGGAAGCCCATGTCGGAAAAATATTAAAACAGGTTCTCTATCATTACTATATAATTGGAGTAACTGACTATCAATAGCCTTAACAACCCACGTGGACATGACATCCACGAGATCCTCGCGCAAGTGAGCCAACTTCTTTTCATAATTGTTACAGTCTGCACAATCTACGCTAGTTGCTGCAAATGAGATTATTATCATTAGTAATTATAAATTGTAATACTGAGAGTAATTAAGATTATATCATATATTTATAGTTAGGAAAATTATAACATTATAAAAAATAACAAGCAGAGTTGTTTAGCTTATCGCGAGATTAATTATAGTGAATGTGTGTATATGTGCATGGGCTTTCGAGATCATTGCTTGAAACAAATTTATGTTGAAAATTAAAAACTATAACATTTATAAGGTCGTAAAGCCTTGCATTGACTCTAATTTGCATCATAAAAATATAAAATATGTAGGAATACGTAAATAAAATATAAATAATATATACAAATTAGTTTTTGCAAGCAATATTTTTTCCTCTAAAAAATTTTGGAATCAAGAAAAACAAAGAAAAAAAAGAAACTTACTGAATAGAACGATCACGTATTTTTCGACTTTTATGAGATTTAGGAGTTCATTGTCGTGCACCCTCTCGAGTTTTGTGGCATGCACACTGGAAAGGATACATATCGCAATTAAGAGCACTAACATTGTTAATTCGTGCGAGGAGCACGAAGATGATAATGTAATACAAGATACGTTCACGTCGCCACGCCGGCAACTTGTGCACGTCAAGCAGCGCAACGCATCAAATCAAAGTCCAATCCAAACTAGTGAAACTTGGCCGGTGTTTACATTTATGAGAGTAGATGGAGAAATGTAGAGAGGGCCAGAGGGGGCGCCATCCATTGGTCACGTGATATCCGAGGTAGCCATGTTGCTGACATAGTTGCGGATTTGATTGGAAATTGGAGTCGGTCTCGGATGGGGGGAAAATAGGTCTGTTTTTTAATAACTGAACTAGGTAGTATACACTTTTTGTATTTAAAATGAAATAAATAATATGTTTGATGTTGGATGAAAACGAGAAGGAAAATTCCAGAGTACATTCCAGTGTAGCAATAAAAAACAAACCTAATATCAATAATTGATGATACTTAATTGAGATATTCGTGTGTCTCCGTGTTCTACCTGAGAATAGGTTTATTCGCGTTGCTTCAAAATCTCCAAAAATTTTATACTTACGAGGTAAAAATATATTCAAACATACAGGGTGTCCCGACCTTTTTTGCCAATCACTTTTGTGTAAATAGAGCGGACTAAACTGAGTCGAAAAGTCCTCTACCATTTTGCAATTTTGGCAATAGTTAACAAGATATTAATTACTAAAAATTGCAAAATATTGGTCTTGAATAATTTTTTACTCAAATACTATCAACTTTACAGAAAAACTGAAAAAGACAAAAATTATTTATTTTCTTCTCGTAAAGTTCTGAAAATGTTTTTAGAATTTTTTCAGAATTTTTTAATGCCGTATTTTCTCATGTTTATAAAAATAAGAAAATGTAGTACTAAAAAATTGATAAAAAATTCTAAAAAAATTCTCAGAACTTTATGAGAAGAAAATAAATAATTTTTGTCTCTTGCAGTTTTTCTGTAAAGTTGATAGTATTTGAGTAAAAAATTATTCAAGACCAATATTTTGCAATTTTTAGTAATTAATATCTTGTTAACTATTGCGAAAATTGCAAAACGATAGAGGACTTTTCGACTCAGTTTAGTCCGCTCTATCTACACAAAAGTGATTGGCAAAAAAGGTCGGGACCCCCTGTATATTCATTGAAGAGAAAAAAAGCAAAGATTACTGAGTGTAAGAAGTGCAAGCAATGCAAACAGACCTATTCTACTATTTGCAGAAACGCTATTAGCGCGCTGCTATTTGTGTCATTCTATCCTTATCGTTCATTAGACGTAAAATAAGGGGTAGAATGACACAAATAGGCCTAATAGCGTTTCTTTGAATGCATTTTACCTTCTGCATAAAGCGTATATTGTGCATGATGTATCGTTTTACCTTTGTTTAATCCTTAATTGCGAATATTGCAGTGCCGGGTCCATTATCCACATAGCAATGTATTTCCTTAGGATATCCTAATTTGATCAGATTAATCCCATTCTGACCCAAAACATTAAATCATCTATATGATTAGCTCAGGACATTTGTAATTATCATTGTA